TGGAGCTGGTGATTGTCTGCTCTGTTAAAAGGCACGGGGCCCATTCAGAGCGGGTTGCTCAATGTCATCACCCATCCATAGTGAAATGGGATTCCCAAGAGCCTCAGTTACATGCAGAGCTTTATCCCCATCAATAGGCATGCTCCCTGTCCCAAGAATTTCCTCTTGATTTTTCTTCTTATTTTTCTTCTTTTTTTTTTCTCTTGCTTTTTTTATCTAATTTCAAAAGGCCATGGGAAAGCTGTCATATCTGGGGCTCTTTCCTCTGCACCAAAGGAGAGCCAATGCCCAGGTGTGAAAAGATGGATACTTTAGCTATACCTCAGTACACAGATTAAAGATGATTTAGGCTCAATGCAGAATGTGTAATGGGCCGATGTCACTCCACAGAGCCCTCCTGCTGTGCTCTTCCTTCTTTGCAAAGGCTAAAATGCCGTCTCCAGTTTCAGTAACTACCTGAGAAGGAGAGGGAATCACTCCGTGCCAAAGCCAATTGTGGGAAGATGACTCCACTTTCCTCTGCTATCAGATCACGAGCTTCACAGGCCACGTGTGCCGAGTATTCCAACCAAGTCCTGCTTAGAAATAAGGCACCTGGACAGCTGTTTCACTTCTGCCTTTGCTAGTACTAACTCTGCCAGTCTTATGACTTGAGGTCTCAGTGACAATTGCCCAGACTTACTCATCATGGCAATCAAATGCAAAATTTTATTCTTATTGCAAAATGATTATTTAATGTAGTTATTTATTTCAAAATTATTTCCTGCAAATTGCTACCACTCTGAGGCGATTCCAGCTTGCACTTTGAGACAAAACAACACCGAGGGCACAAAACAGGGGTAACTCAGGACCTCATTTCTTGCAGTGGAAGCTGAAGGTCCACAGGACTTCCCAGGCCTCTGCAGATATCAGTAAATCCCACTCTTCCCACTCTCTATCAGAGCTCAGTGTGCCACAGTGTGATATTGCATCCTCCCAAAAGAAGCCTAGCTGAGTCCTGAAGCTTGGTCCGCACTGCCCTTCCCTGTTCCAAATTCAGGATATCCTTCTTCCCTTAGAGACGTGGAGAAAAAGACTGGGAAGAGAGAGAGAGGAGGGGAAGGTGCAAATCAAGAGACAACCTCAGCCTGAAAGACAGTCTCAGTCTTTCATCAGACAAAAAGTCAAGCAAGCAAAAGACCCTTCAAAAAGGGTCTTATTTCAGAATCCGTAGGCAGCTTAGGTTACTCGAGACTCTCTAGTGGTTCAGAAGACTTTGACCAAGAAAGTTAAAGCCAGGGACGATCAATGAGACTCTGCAAGCACCATCGCATCAGGTTACCTGCTGAGACGAGACGGCAGGAGCTGCACTTTGTTGCCTTTTTTTTTTTTTTTTTACTTTTTTTTTCTTTCCTGGTCTGGCAATCTGTCTGAGGAGGAATAATAAACCACCCCTCCTCCTTCATGCTAATCTCTCACTCCCTAGAAAACAATGTGTTTCAGTGCTGTTTCCCTTCATACTGTGTTAAAAATGAGGATTTTAACTTCTTGATGTGGAAGCACACTGCAGCCACAGGGCAGACGTGGAAGAGAGAGAAAGCAGAAGGTGGAGGACAACTGCCCAGATACCCCAGGGTACAAACCTTTTTTTTCCGGAAAAGCCTTGATGTGACTTTTCTGCTGTCTCAAAAGTATCATCCCCTCTGCTACAAATTTACCAATAATCTGTGGCCAGCTCAGCTGGAGAAATTGTGCAAGCAAATCTTGACCATTCCTTGACCAAAGGTGTTCTGGAGGGTGGCTAGCAGTGCTGGAAGGACCTCCAAGGACATGTGCAGCCCCTTGCAGACAAGCAGAGCAGATCCAGTGCTCTGGAACTGCTGTCT